TTCAATAATTTTTTTTGTGATAATGGTGTTTTAATGTGCTAATTTTGTAATTATTCTATTAATTGGAAACATAAAACTATGATAATTACATATATGAATACAATATCTTATAAAAAAGCTAAAGAAAATATGAATTTTAAACAAACCAATTTAATTCAGCAAACATTAAATTTAGCAATTAATAAAAATAAATCAAGAAAATTTATAATCAATGATCTAGTTTTGGCATTTGCTAATGCTAATATACCCTTAGAAAACGTTGATAAACTTCTTTTATGAATTAGAGAGTATGTAAAAGAGAGTGGTACAATCTCTAAAGCAAATATTTTACATCAGCAATATCTTTCAATTGTTTATAAAACACAATTAGATCAACTAAAAAAAAATTTAATAATAAACCTGTTTTAATAATTATTGATAAAACTACTAATAGTAAAGCATGAAGTGTAGTCAATATATTATTTAGCTATCAAGGTTTAATATTATTAGTAGTTATAGAATTTTTAGATTAAGTAAACAATTCTACAATTAGACAACTTATTATTCATACTTTAGTTGAATAGAATATTCCTTTTAATTTATCATGCTTAATGGTTTCTGACTCTGCTACATATATGAAAAAATGTGTTCAAGAGGTTTTAAAATTAATTATATCTCAAATTATCTATTTACCATGTTTAACTCACATTATAAATTTGATCAAATATGTAACAATTTAAATTATTACATTAGTATATTAAATTTTAATAACTATTTATTATTTTTTAGTGATATGTGAATTGCAATTTCACATTTTGATAATATATATACATTATTAACACATATTAAAAAAACATTTACTTTTGCAAAAAATCAACTTACCAGATATCTTAAGCACTTAAAGAATAATGGTATATTAAATCTAACTAATATTCTTTTATCAAATGCAACCTGTTGGAACTCATGGCTTTGAATAACTTTTTATATTGAAGAATACTTAACATATATATGTGATTTTTATATTGAAGAACAGAAAGAAAATTTATCAAATTCTATAGATCTTATTGTAGAAATTCTTTCTGATTTTCAAAGATATGAACATATACAACTATATTTAACCTTTATTAAATATTATAGTCAACAATTTGTTTGTGATTTGGATTATTTTTAACAAGAAAACTTACTTATATTTTCTTATATTAAAAGTTATATTGAACAATTAGATAATGTAATTAATACTAACAAAACTTTAAATAATCTTATGCATCCAGTTTTAAATATATTTCAAAACTTTAATACAAGTCTTGAAGCATTTTATCCAATATTTCAATTAGCATATAATATGGTGTCTAAAAAATATGATAATCATATTTTTAATTATCTAGCATGATTATTATTTAAAGAAGCTCAAGTATTTGATCTATGTTTTATAAAGTTATTTACTATTAGT